GCTCACACGGCTTTAGGCTTCAGCCGCTACTATATATATATATATTATATATAATATTTGTGTATGTATATATATATATACGCGTTTTCACAAACATGTGCAATGTGTACACACACACAACAAATACTCTCCAGATGATGTAGCACCGGTTTCTAAGCCTCTCTGGAAGTCACCTGCATCATCTTCCACCTTACCTCGTGCGTCTTCCCTTTCCTTGCACCCCTCCGACCCCTCCCAATCCGACCAGAACCACCAGCCACACATCACGCCACCGGTTCACCAGCCGTTCACCGCCTCGAAGAAGCCGCCCCACTTGAGGCCGCATTGCATGGTCCGCCCGGAGATCGTCCCGGGCCTCGCTGGCTGCTGGTCAAGCCGTCTCACAACGTGAGCGCCGCCCATGTCTTTGAACATGAATTTGATGACCAAAACCATGCTTCTCCATGCTTCTCCTTCTTTTGGTACAAAAGCTGCAAACCATCTTGCCATGCGAAAAGGCATCCCAAATACGTTCAAGAACGATGCAGAAAAGGCGATTCTTGCTAAGGCTCGGCCTTATGGCAAGTTGGCAGGCTTTCCAGTCGCCTTCTGAGTCGCTTTTTCTTTCCGAGGCCATGGCCCTGCCCCGTTCAGAGTGCCATTCAGCACCGTGTCGAGGTCCTGCAGAACCCACGACGCCGAGAGACGCGGTGTGAGTCGCTCGCTTTCTTGAACCATCCTCCCATCTGAACCCAACCCATTCTCTTTTCGGGGCATCTTTCTCAGAACAACAATGAACATAAGCCCTAGGGATCCAGTCGTACCTTCTCAGAAGGCACTTGGACCCTCCAAACCCACCCCAAACACCGTACCTGAGAAGGTACTTGGATCCCTAGGGAAGAATAAACCTCGCGCGTCGCTTCGCTCCGGGTGGTCGTCGCGTGGTCTGCCGCGTCGCTGCGCGGTCGCTCCCGGAAGGCGATGCCAGTGTCATATCTGATGACCTGAAGCGGTCCGTTGTTCGGATGATTTCGGAGGAAGGATTCGGATCTAGCGTTGTTCTAGCCTATGACGCCAAACAGGCCTTGGTCCCCTCAAAAACCTTCAAAATCTAGGGATTGGTTCGACCCGAAATTCCCCAAACCCCTCAGAAAAAAGGGATTCAGGTCTGATCCCTCCATATAGTTCCCACCCTTTTCTAGTGCCATTCCAGCTTCAAAATCGTCCGATCGAGCACCAAGCATTCGAGATCCGAAACTGGAAGAAAGTGGATCAAAAGAATCGGTCTTCGCTTTCGCAGTCATCGGATGTTATCGGTCTGTATTCGGTCCTTCGGTTCACACCTTGCAAGGTCCTTCATAGGACTTCCGGGCCTGGCAAGGACCACCAAAAGAAAAACAATGTCTCAAAGAGGCTGTGCAAAGGAACAAGGACGCTACTAGGGGCTCCTGGCATCGCTACTAGGAACCAGAAGCTGCTAGGGGCTCCTGGCCGTACTACTAGTAACAAGAAGCTATTAGAAGCTATTAGACAAGGCCATGGAGATTCGAACGAATGACCACCCCCCAGTGTCCGCCGAGCCAAGTCCGTCCAATCGATGTCTCCGCGCCGCCCCGCAGTGTCGCATCAATCCTTACGACTCAACCTCAATCAGGGACCCTTTTTGGGATCTGGACGGAGCAACCAAAAAAGAACTTCTGAAAAACATATAAATAGAGCCTGAGTGACCTCTGTTTTTGATATAGGGAAATAGCATGATATACCCCGTTTGCTTTAGAAGCAAACATCCATGTCTTCCCCTACCCTCCGACCTCCGACGGCTCTCCGTCGCTTGCGTTTTTCTCCGTGGGCCGAGACCGGACCGAGACCGACGAGACGCGGACGCCCAAACGACCCGGCACGATGATCTGCCCAGATGATCCTGATCCAGAAAAACGCACAGTGGAAGGAAAAAAACACCATGAGGACCAAGTGTACAACATCTTAGGAATCCAATCTCCCCATCTGATAAGCCAAGAGTTGCTGGGGCACAACATGTTTTGGTATCAACATACGTCTTATGTATTTGCCGTCTCGGATGAGTGACAATGTCCAACACATTCGAAGACTTGCCTCACACCTTGGGTACACCTTTAATCCAACCATGCGGTCGCTTGTCACCGCTTAATCCACTTCATGTGAGCGAGAAGTCCCAACCACGATCACGAACGATCCAACACGAACGGATGCAAATGCTGCTTCGTTGACCTGCGAGTAGTCCCGTCTTCGGTCAACGAAGGCAGGTCAACGAAGGAGCATCGCGTCTCGCGTCGTCAAGGCGATCGGGTGGCACGCCGCCCGCGGTTCATGGAGACGTGTCCGGCCGTGTCGGGACCAGAACGGGCCGGACCAACGGACCAGAGAACGGGCCGAACCCGGTCACCGCAAGGGTTAAGTGCGACAGCTGGTTTGGCACCAAGATCATGTATATAAAGCTTGCATAACAGATCCTGTGAATGGTTCCTGTGGCAGCCAAAGAAGTTGAGCGCTTCGAAGGCGCCAAAGGATGCAGGACCATCGGAAATAGCATCGATATGGCAAAGCGATAAGGTCATGTTATGGAGAACGTGTACAATCTTCAGTTGTGAAGTGCTAAGCTGCCATCATGTTATCTCGTATTCCATAGCAAAAGTGCCACCAAAAGCCCAGTTCATAACATATCTCTAGCACTCTACACTCTTGTACTTGACATGTCCATATCCAACAAACATCAAGAAGGGTATGAGATGTTGAAACAGGGAAGCTATAACACCTATATGTTTCACATTCCAAACGTCTCCCTGCCCAACCATTCACCTTGGTATATCAAAACCGGCTCTTCCCAGTCGCCACACCAAAGACGTTGACGTTGTGCCCGAAGACGTCGCGGCGCGGGTTGTCGGCACCTTGAGCTTCTTGTTGGGGTCAACGATCTTCCAGGCACCCTCGTTGTCACCGGGACCAACCTGAAAGCGAAGACAAGAGTTGATTGAAAAACTGAGGACACCATTTCTTTGGATTGGTTCAAGGGAGAATCTGTAGGAAAATCATGGGGATCCCCCAAAACTATGGGTTTGCCTGTAGACTCTCCCTTAAACCAGTTCCGGACTAATAATTGGTTGGAAGCTCACGATGTGTTTTGATCCATGCCCTGCCACTGGCCCTCAAGAAGTCCTTCCCTCCGGCAAGGCCTCCACCACTAAATCGAACTTTTGCCTGCTGGTAAGGACCTGATTTCACAGGCAGCAAAAGTAGACCATGTGAAGCAAGACAGCACCATGGACCCATAACGACTTGGACCCATAACGACTTGGTCTGGATCCAAGCGCTGAAGTGATTGAAAGTGTTCATACTTCTGTGCCAATTTCTACACTACCCTCCCAGCAAAAAAGCAAAAAGAAGTTGGGCAAGCGCACAGGATGCCGTATCCATCCAACAAAGCGGTCACCAGGGCTAACCTCAATCATGAGCAAACCCTGGAGCAAGGCCTCACAGAAAATGTCAAAGAGGAGTAACTACACCCTACACCTGATTCAAAATTACAGTAAGAACGCTTCATCCACACAACTTGGCAAATAGGCTAAGCGACTGACAGTGTCCAACTTCTGAGCATTCAGGGCAAGTCTCCCACTCCTGAGCATCAGTTCGATAAGAACCCATGAACTAAGGCTCTAGGGGGGACCAAGCCTTGCAAAGCTCGAGAGAGAAGCAAAGTCTTTTCGAGCGCCACATGCCCTGCCTCTGGAAATCTCGCGGAGAGTCGCCGACCCAGGCCTGTAAGCTGTGTGGTGCCATCGATGTTCCACATGAAAACGTCGTTGGGTTCATCTATGATGCCCCCCCAAAACAAAGACGGCCCCTGTCAAGAGGGTTCTCTTCAACCATCTTCTTGAACGCAAGTGACATGTCAGGCCGCACCTCTGTGCCAGCCCATAGGCCCAGTAAGCAAACAGCCCACCTTGAGGTCTCGTCCATGTGCCGAAAGAGAATGCGTTTTTCTATAGAGGTCACAAATATTCCCAAATTCTATATATTCAAACAGACTGTTCTAGGGAGAGGCTTCAATATTCTATCTACTTTAGGGTCATGACATGATGGATTCCTTCTTCTGATTAAAGGCCAATTCCTAAAGAAATTGTCGCCATGGTTGATAAAGAATCTGAAACTTCAGTTGGAGGCAACTTCAGGGCTTGGCCCAGCCCATCGGGCTTGACTCCGTGAGGAGACGGCGCGCTCGCGCCTGGCCCACTGGCCGGCCCAAACCGAAAACGGGGGCCAAATGGAAAGAAAAAGGAATCCGAACATGGAATGACATTGAAAAGCGACCTGCTGGAACGGAATCTACAATATCAAGGCTTCCGAACGGGCATCCCTCGGCCATGCTGAACACAAGGGGCTTGGTGGCAGACCACAAGCTCAAGTCGGCCGTGGTCCATGTCTTCACTGGTTGACAAACCGTTTACCGGGCGTTTGCCATGAGCTCCGTTCGCATCTCAGGTATCAGCTTCGTCTCAGGTATCCCGCAGCTCCGTCCTTGTCCCAGCGCCCATCTCCTCAAGACAGAAGGAAAAGTTCAGCAGATTTTGACCCTTCTGCAAGGCAATCCTTCAACATCCAACGCTGACAAGTCTTTGAAGGGGGATTGTTCTCGATGTTGCTTGACATACTGCATCGACACTGTTGATTGATAATTGGTGCAAAGTATTGATATCAGGCAAGTAGACACTCACCCTGCCCTAGAAGTGGATGATGTAAAAAAATGTAAAAAGCAAAGGCATCGCGGCATCATAGGAATTTACCAAAACTGACACCTGTCACGTCGCTTTCTCCTGCCTGTGAGAAGGACCACATCACAGCACCCCGTGCAAACTACCCATCGGGTTTGAGAAGCTGAGCACCACGAGGAAACTGCACACCACCCTGCCACTTGAAGCTAGACAAATAGCAATAACGATGATGATGATGATGATGATGATGATGATGATGATTCATGATACAAAAGAACCTCTTCAAGTAGCTTGGGCGTGGCTTGGGCTTCCCCCGCTTGCTGACTCTTGTTGCCCGATCGAGGCACGGCCCGCGATGCAGCCGCCATGTGTTCATTTTCACCACGGCAAGAGCGAACGATGGTCGTAAAGGATGAAAGAAGCTACGCTGGCAACTGCAGCAGGCAGCAAGCCTGTTGTGAGGAAGTGGCTACAAAGCACTAGACTATTTGACAGGAGTCGGAGTGGAGCTCGTCCCAAAGAGGTGAAGAACAGACTCTGTGCTCATGGTCGGTGTTTTGCTTGAATCGCATCAACGATGGAAGCCACGCGTTGTAGATCAGCACATCGCATCCTGCTGGCTCTACAACCCCTCAACGACCCAGCACATCCCAGCACACCGATCAGGTCTGCATCAGCTCGGCGGGAAGAGGCCCAGCCTTGGGAGGCTTCCAAACGAGCTTCGGCATCGATGCGTCCACGGCCGAAGAGGAGCAATGGGAACAGGAGAGGAGAGGAGAGGCCCCAGAGATCCGATCCAGTTGAAATGACAGAGGAACTCGTGGGTGGACCCAACGGAACTGCTCTTGTGCTTCGGTCCCTACGGTCGCTCCAAACCCAAGTCTACCAGTGCTGTCGGTCCCGAGCAGCTTCGGCTCCCCCGCTGGTCTCCGAGCTCTTGCAGCTCTCCGCCGGCCTCGCGCTGACCAGCAGCGCGGCGCTTGCGCGAGACGGGTCCGGACCGGTCCCCCCGGTGTGGTGTGCGACTCAGACGATGAAGAGGTTCAATTCATGTCCGGGGCCCGGGGAGCCAGTTTTCAAGCAGCGGGGGGAGCGTCCAGTTTCTACCCTTTTGAGTGGAAATCTTGATAAGAAAAACAGACGTCTGCATCCAAAGCTCCAAGGAAACACCCCATGAGCGCTCGGCCTTCATGGCATATTGAACCCAGAGCGGATCCTGCGAGCGAGAAAACCGCTGCCACTGTGACCAGGAAGTGAAGTGTTCGCCGCGACGAGCGTCTAATGATGTCTAATGGCTTAAGTTCTTTGTGGGTTCGGAAGCGAAGAGCTGAGCACATGCCCACACTCCTCTGTTGGCTTCTTGCTTCAAGCCGAACAGCTCAGAGCTTCTTTTGGTCGAACATGCAAATACCGGAGCAAACAAAGTCACAGGACCAAAGATTGGCATGCAGTGCTCGTACCAGGACCCTCGAACAGGTCTTTTGTGGTGGCTCGTGACCTGTGAAGTCGGGTACTGGTAGGTGTCTTTTAGCAATTGGTCTCCATCTTTCAGAAGCACTTGACTGAAACACTTCTTTTTGCTGCCTTTGGAAAACCCCTGTTCCGAAGCAATTCTCCCACTCCTCAAAGGAGGAATCGGGCTCCCGAAGCAGGAGGTCACGACTGGGCGCGGCACCGGAGCTTTTCGCTTCTCATGGGGCTCAAGACCCTCTGGAACGGTGCATCGAACGGTGGGACTCCTGGCGCATCCCATGGTTTTTGAAAGGCTCACTCCTGAACAACCATCGGTTTTACCACCGGATCTTGGACGTGAAAGAACACCAGGCCAGCCGTTTTTGGAATGGTCAAAAACGGAAGGCGAGGCGACCAGGAAGGACAGTTTAACCCCAAACTCCTGGACCCCAAGGATCCCCAAGGTGGTGCTGTTTGGAGCGACCCAAAAGAGCTACAGCCAAGTGCTTCAAAACCATGGCACAACGACCTCCCCACTCGATTGTTTCTTGGAGAGATTCTTCACCAAGGAAGCCGAAGCCCTATGTCACGCAGCTAACGCACACGCAGCGTCGCCGATCGCATGTCTGGCTGGTCGCCTGACGGTCACGGGGATCCAGATCCCTTTGTCTGACAACATCTCGTCGACCTCGAAAACCGGACCAAGAACACGGAAGAAGGCCCTCGGGCCTTCTTAGGAAAGGTAAGGTCAGTGTGCCTTTTCTGCCCTTTTCAATCAAAACCGTTATTTTTTCAACAAGCAGCAAGGCCTGAAGCCGATCCGTGCGCCTCGTCCCTCCTCCAGGAGACGGTGTTCCAAAAGAACTTGAAGCGAAGCGCTGACCCAGGGCCCTGTGGAAGGCGCTTTCGCCCAGCGGAACCCATGTCTGGTGCTGTCCTAGATGAGTGAAAATGGACGGCCCGGTGTGCCGTGGCCCAAAATGTCTCGTGGCGCAGGAAGTCCCTGAAAACCCTGCTCCAGAGCTTCTTGCTCCTTCTTCGGAGATCAGCATCGGTCCTAAACCGCAGCCAGAAAGGACATGAAAGGACCAAAGTGACAAAGTGACGACCTAGTGCAAAGGAATTGTCCCGAAACCCTTCCGGATCATTATCTCACACGTCAAAAAACTGCTTCCAGAAAATCACCCTTTCAGGCCGTTTCAAGCCGCCAAGCTACGGAATCCGCTTGGCCATTTTTCCACCTTCCCCACGTTCCCACCGCATCGTTCGGTGCCACGAAGCCTCGCTGATCCAGTCGCAGGCCACACCGAAGTCGCTACTGGCGGCGTCGTCTCGCCGTCTCCGACCGACCGAGTTGGTCGAGATCGCACAGCGTCGGACGGTCGCGATCGCGGTCGCAGCCTTTTTGGACGGAGAGTGGGGGGCAGAGTGCGTCTCCTCTTCCAGAGACCGCTGACCTTCAGTGACTGATCTCTTTTTGAGTAACCTTTCTGCTGTCGTTCTATAGCTTGCAGTCACTCGATTCGTCATTTGTTGTGGCACCAAAACAGGTGGTATAGGCGACAGCACTGGTCTTCTCAGCATCATTCAGAAAACAAACTAAACTAAACCAAACCAATGGAGGCATCATGTTCAACAGTCACATCTGCCTCACCTCTTTCATGCCACGTGTCCATAACACTTACACCCTTTTGGAAATCCACTCATCAACATGAAATGAACTGCGGAATCGGAATCGTGCTCTGTGTCTTGCAGAGAAAGATGTGTTAGACATGTGTTAGTTCGACATGTTTCACAAAGACCATGGGGATGAGAAACTGCTGCGGACCCTTGGACTACCGCACTCGGAACGGCTCGGCGTAAGTAGTCGTCGTCTTTGCAAAGGACCCCGGAGGGACCCATGGACAACTTGCCTTTGAAAAGAGAGAGAGAGAGAGAGAGAGCGAACGAGGCAGTTGCAGAAACGCCCTACGGCCACCTCTGTCTGTACTCTTGCCACCTCTTGACTCTTGTTGATACCCTGCAACATATGCCTTGATGACCAAGAAATGAAGTAATGAAATGAGATGTTCAGCACCGCTGTGGACGGGTCGATTCACTTTCCACCACCCCGTCAGGCTCGGCTCAGCCGCTCCGTTCTCTCAGCCGCAGCACCGCCAAAGGCCGCAACGACCGCAGCGATCCGTCCGCCAGGTCAGCGATCCTCAGGAAGGAAAGGCGACGAAAGGACAAAAAAGCCTTTGGAAACCATGGAAACACATGGCAAAAAACGTATCAAGCAAAAAAAAAACACCTGCCATGTGTTTCTATGGTTTCCATGTTTCCATGGTTTTCCATGGCAATAAACGTATCAAGCAGTCGAACTGTTCTTTTACAATCAATTGCAAACGGAAAAAAACCGTCGATCACCTCCACACCGGGCGACCGCGGGTCCACGCCGAGAACCCCGAAAGGGAGCTGAGATCCACCGGGTACCCGGGCCCACTGGAGAGGCCCACTTTGATGCGCTTTGAGAAGCTGTTGAAAGAGATCAGACGCCCACTTCAGGACGTTTTTGACTAAGAAGGACCATTAGAGGCAGATCAATGGAGAATGGTTTTAAGACTAGACTAATAGAAGGACTAAGAAAGACTTCTGGATCGTGTTGAGGTCGATGGCTCGCTCCTCGCCACCAGCCACTCAGCTCTGGGCCTCGGGCGGCCGTGAAACACGGGGCCACCGCACGGGCGGTAGATGGACCACTGGACAGGGAAGGAAAGGATGAAGAGAAGGAGGAAGAGAAGGATGAAGAGAAGGATGAAGAGAAGGAAAAAATGGAATGGAATCCTGGAAACCCTGCTTTTTGCGTGCCTTTACGGTGCTCCTTTTAGGAGCTACGCAGCTACGCCTTGCTCCCCACCCTGCAGCGAAGCTGGCGATCGGCGAAGCTAGCTCAAATTTCCTCAGTTCTTTGGAAGAAAGATTGAAGTTTAGGCTCACACCTCTTGAAGGTGGCTCTTCTTCACTTCCTCAAAGATGGCCCAAGGTTCATTTGACTGGGCACGACACCAGGAAGGTTCAAAAGCTCCATTCCTGACAGGAATGGCCTGTCGAATGTGTTTCAAGCATGTATTGTTCATAAAATCTTTCATATGGTAAGAGCTTCAAACCATGCTCTTTCCAATGAAAAATGTTTATAGATAATATATTGATCTTCGACATCACGGCTTTGGTTTTGCTAGCACGCCTCCCAGAACTCCTCTGCCAGCTTCAACTCCTCCTCCTTTCCAGCCATGAAAGGAACATGTCAGACTCGGGATTGTGCAGATTGCCATCCGAGACTTGGCCAGTCTGACCATCCCAGACTCACACCCATTCCCGGATGCTTCACAACCACCCTTCGTCTTCGTCAGCACAAAACGAACGAGGCAACCGCTCTTCGGCCGGGTCGGTCAGGCTCTTCGAAAGGCCAAAAGGCAAATAACACATGGTATACCCAGGTGGTCAGCGGTCCAGTCTTCCAAAGCAAGGGTCCATCTCCGTACAGAATGATGACAGCTTCTTAGCAAAACCTGGGGCCCTGGAGAAACAGATCGTTATGGTGCCACAACCCACAGCCACTTCCTGGCGCTGCGAAAGAATTGAGGACATCCCAATGTCGCTCCTGCTGTCTTCTGTAGAGACGGTCTTGTTCTTGCCGAAACTTCTTCACCCAACTTGGCGGATTGAAAGGAATGCTGCTCAAAAGTTCAATATTAATGGGTTGGTGCCCCAACAATTACCAAGCAAGAATTTCATGTCTTTTGGGGGAACAATTGTGTATACAGTATACAAGTCTGACTATCCCTCAAGGTATGCATTTTGGTGCCTCAACAGCAACTCCAACTCACAAAGCTCAAGCATGGTCCAGCTCACCCACTGCCACGTCCCCCTTCGAGTGCCCGGCTTCTTGCGGTTCCAGGCCTCACCAAAACCGCGGAACGGGCACCGGTGACGCCAGCGAGACCGTCATCCGTGTCAGGAACGACCCCGACCCCGGCCCGGCACTTGGCGCTTTCCGGACGTCGGGGGGGAGAAGGAAACGCCCTGGTCGGTCGGTCTCTTCGCCGCCAGCGGGGGGTTCAGCCGGTCGAATCTTAGCAAGCGGCTTGCCACTTCAGGCGCTGCATCTCTTCCTGCGGACGTGATGACGGAATTCCCCAAGGGTCCGGGTGACCAGCAGAAGCCCTGAATGGAGGCACACGTTCCGGTTCTGCAAAAGAGGTGTGACAATGAATCTGGCGCGCAGGTGTGGATCTAAAAATGTTGGAAGAAAACGGACCTCGGCCCCAGTCCGGGGAGTGCATTTCATATATCACTGGGGAGGCTGATTCAGTGCAGGAAACCCACGCAGCTGACCCCCCGCACCGCGCGGCACTTGTCGATGGTCTGTAGGATGCTCTTCTGGCACCGGAAGTCCGTCGGTCTCAATCTCCTTCCAGCCTGAAATCAAGAACGTGAGGTGCTGAAAAATGCCTCAAATCACTGAACTGGCGAAAGAGAGGCATTCAAAAGTTGAAGCAAGTTCTTTGCTCTATAAATCATGTCCTATCAAGAGAAAGATCCAACTTATCCGCTACCAAACGGTATCAAGTCCAAGTGAGAATTTGCTTGTTTGTTTCGCTTCATTTCTTCACTGGTTGACAGCAGAATCAAAGCGACAACGCGTGTGCTTCCCCACATCCACCAACTTCGCTCGATTCTTCAGCTCCTCATGAGTCGAGTGAGTGTGACACTCTCCAGTCAGACAATGTTCAAAGCAGCAACTTCGCTTCCAACCTTTGTCTCGGATGAATCAGACTCATTCCCCCTGTTTTTGGCACCACCTAAGGAAATTCCTGGACTCGGGTCATGAAAGAAGACCATTCATCCTAAGTGGTCTTTGACTTAGAGGGCATTCACCCCAACTTAGCCCAACGATTTTCTTGGATCGGACCCTCCCCGACGACGGTAGAACCCACCAGCATCTATACGGTGGAACCCGTGGTGGTCGGGAGGGCGGGGCAGCTTCGCCCGTCCTTGGTGGTCAAGGATCGCAGGTCCTTGAACTGCGCCACCCAGTCCTTCACCTTTGGACGGGGCGTTTTCCACGGCAAGGGTCCAACACCAAAAAGGAGCACCGAGCTACAGCCTGAGCTACAGCCATGGCACCGCCAGCCATGGACGGTTGAGTGGGAATTCAACCGTTTAGTCAGTGGATTGTCTGCCAGGTGAAGCGGCCGTAGCTCACTTGGTGTAAACCCACTTCCTGCTGTGACGCGTGAAAGAGACTTCCTAACGTAGTGTTTGCAATTGCAAGTGAGATGCTAACTTCTGCTGGCCTTTCTTGCCTCATCTTCACACCATTCACGTGCTAATTTCTGTGCCTCCTTCATCTCTTGGTCTCCCATGTCCTGCATGGTGCTGTGGAACAAGTCAAGCCACCTGGCCGGGCAACGAGTTTTGTCCAGCCTCCGGAGCCTCCCTGGCACGACGCAGCGCGGCCAAAAACATCCAAGAACACCCAAAAACACCCCCCAAAACTCAACGCTCAAGCCGAGCGAAGTCGCCTCTTCTGAATGCGTTGTCCTCCCTTTCCAAGTCGAATCATGGCTGACCTGGCGCAAGCGCTCGACGGCGCAATGGCTCGAGCATCCGTCATTTTTTTTGTCCGAATGGCATCCCACCAGTTGTGTTTTTTGTTCCCAGAGCAGTCAGAGCAGCCGTCGCCGTTCCCACAGAAAGCATCTACCCATTCGCCATCTCCGAACTCCGCACAACTCCGAAACTGACCAATTCCCCCCCCCGAAGCTCATTTGAGCGCTGAAGCGCTCGCTTCCATGACTCACCTAAGGACTCGCTGTGACTTCTTTCAGGCACCTGAAGGAATCTTTCCACATCTTGGGCTCACTGTTCATGGACCTGCCGAACAGATCGTACACCAAACCGCTCCCTCGCAGAAAACCGCCTATCCCCCTACTGGGTGACTAAGCAAAGGTTCGGCATCAAGGCCTCTGAAACTCCTTCATCATCTCCTGGTATGTCTTTGACCAGCCTCAGAGAGCAGAGCCCCTCAAACGGCAAGAGCCTAAACAAGAATAGAAGGAATCTTTCCAAAAGCATGGGTAGAAGAAGGACAAATCCAAACTCGCTTGCTCCCCGTAATAGCAAATCCCCCGACATGAAAACAAACCCCAAACCTTCGATCAAGCGTACACCACGCATGCAGTCTTCTGCCTCATCATCACTCGGAATCAATTGGAGAGCTAGTGTCAATCTGCGCATCGA